TTCCCTCCAGTTCACTCTCTCCTGTCCCTTCTTCCCCAACCCACAGCTACTTCTTTTGCTTCTGTTCACTCATCTCCTCCCTTCCCATCCCTCTTCTAAACTTTGTGGTGGCAGATTAGTTGGGGTGGAGAACGATATGGGAGCATGTAGGGAGAAAGCAACACAAACAGGCCTTGGGGAAACACTTTAAAAACTTACTGGGAACCTTCCCCAACTCAACTCCTGCCGTCTCTAGATCAGGAGTTGGCAAACTACAGCCTGCCATCTCTTCTTATAAATAATGTTATATTGAAACAGCCACACCCGTTCATTTACATCAGGTCTGTGGTTTCACCCTACAGTGGCAAAATTGAGTACTGTAATTTTGGTCAGGACCATATCCATCAAGCCTATAATGTTTACTATCTGATCATTTACAGAAAGTAAAGTTGACTCCTAGTCTTCGTAAGTGCTTCGCTGAGAGTCTTCTACAGAATTCTCATTCTGCAAAATGTTAAGTAGGTATTGCTGGCAAGAAAATTCTACAGTCAAATCATTTTGGAAACCCTGCTTTTTAATCCCAGGACTTCTTAGAGCTTTTATTAAGTTAATGTGCATTATGAATTTCTAAGAGGTCGCCATAGTTTGCAGCATTTTCCCAAGTTTATTTGGGAACCCTTTTCTTACAAATACAGAGTGATGCATAGAGCTCCTGAGAACACACTTTGGGAGATGAGATGGCTCTTTAACAATAGCCAAGATATATTGTTAAGTGAGAAAAACAAGGTTTGTCCAGGACACACTCAACTGTATGAAAAGTGGGAGAGGGAAAATGTAGGTAAGTGTTTGCTTATGACGTTTTAATTATTTCTGGAAAGGTCCATGAGGAACTGGTAATGCTACTCACCTTCGGTGGGTTAAAGCTGGGAGAGAGACGTCACACAGTAGTTATTTTCTGTATCATGCCAGTATACTTTATTACCTAAACAATCAATTAATCCATCTGTCAGTCAGCATTATTAAATTTTTAAACCAAAAGGTAAAATGGTAAAGCACTTGGAAAACAGTTTGGCAGTTTTTAATCAAGTTCAATAGACACTTACCATATGTCCCAGAGTTCCATTTCTAGGTATTTTCCCAAGATAAATGAAAACATATGTCCTTACAAAGAATTTGTAAACAAATGTTCATAGCAGCTTTATTCATAATAGCCCTAAACTGGAAACAATTCAGCTGTGTATCATCAGATGAACAAATACACGAATTGGTCATATCCCTGTAATGGAATACTACTCAACGTTAAAAACAAAAAAAGGAGCAAACCACGGATACCTGCAGCAAATGGAGAAATTTCACAGATGTTAAGCTTGGTGAAAGCCAGACACAAAAGATTCTGTTTAATTTCAATTTTGTAAAAATCTAGAACACACAAAAGAAACCTACAGTGATAGAAAGCAGATCATTTGCTTGGGGTGAGGGTTGGGGAGGAGATTTAACTGGAAAGGGACACAAGGGAACTTTTTGGAGACATGGAGGCATTCTGTGTCTTGATTATGGTAGTGGCTACACATGTGTATACTTTTGCCAAAACTTGCCAGTCTGTACACTTAAAATGGTGAATTTTATTGTATGTAAATCATACCTCAATAAAGTTAATTTTAAAAAGAAATGTCTCTTAAAAGGGAGCAATGAAGGAGTAAGGGATATTCAATAATTTTAAAATAGGGTCAAGCAGCCCTGCAGTTGATTGCAAAAGGTTACTGTCACTCTCTAGGTGATCGTTCTCTGGAACCCCTAGAGAAATAGAAATGAGCAGCCCGTAACTGGCTGCATTTGTTCTTGTCCAAGCCAGCTGAGGGATCTGGTCTGAAAACCAGTTCTGCAGAAGCAAACCTGCTTCACCTGATTGAAGGTTCCCACTCACCATGAGTGAGGCTGGTGACCTTTCTCCCACTTGTGCGCTGTCTCTGATGATAGTCCCTCCATTTTCTGGAAACTTGCCAATTCCAAGTGTAGCCCCAAAGTCATTTTGGGTCTACCACGTGGTGAAAATGTCAGCAGCGCATCGGACCTCACTGCAGCCTTGAAAGATTATCCCCAGTGGGCTATCTCCAGTTTACAAACCAACCGAACTCCAAAGTAAGAGACAGTGAAGAAGCTATTTGACTCTTAGAACACATTTCCTGATTAAAATACTATTATGAATGGTAAAAACAAACAAAAAAATAGGCTGATCTCTAAAAGGCCACTAGAGTTTTAGGACATCACAGCCCTCAGGTAACCTCAAGACCACCTGTATCCTTTGTTCCTATTCCCACTTCAAGGTTGTGTCTCTTCATACTGGACATAGGAATCAACCTTACCTGCAGACCTTTAAGGATAAGTCGTCTTTCCTATGACACAGTTTTAAACCTTGCAATTATTTCTGCTTACTAGCTGTCTATGTAGAGTCATGTGTAATCTAGCAGACATTTCTAGGCATTGCAACAGACCCACTAGGGACTGTAGCACATGCATTAGAGTGTGGCCAAGCCAGGTAAGCTGTGACTCAAAGAGCCTGCACTGAAAGCAAGACAGCCCTGGACTGTGGGTCAGCTCTGCTACATACCAGCTGTGAAGTGTTAGGCAAATTACTTAATCTGTATGTTTCCTCATCTGTACGATAACTGTGATAATAATACCTAGTTTAAAAGGTTATTATGTGGGTTTAATGAGGTAGCAGAGGAGTTCCATTTACGAATGCTGAGCAACAAAATCACCCCAAAAATCAGCGTCTTAAAAGAATGACACCATTCATTTTGTTTGAAAGTGTGCAATCTGGAAAATACTTAGTGGGGACAGCTTGTCTCAGCTTCCCTTGGCATCAGCTGGGCTGAAATCACCTGAAGGTTTGCCCACTCACATGTCTGGCAGTTGCTGCTGGGAAGATTCACATAGCTGGAGGCTTGGACACCTGGGACTCCTAAGCATCTCTCTCCATCTGTGTGTGGTCTCTCGAGCATGGCAGCTTCAGGATAGCCAGATTTATTACACGTTATCTTTCCTGACCTGGGCTTGGAACTCATGGAATCATTTCTGCCATAGTCACAAAAAGCTGCCCATATGAAAGAGGAGGGAATGCAGACCCCACTTCTCATTACATAGCAAATCACATTGTAAGAACCTGTGGGATGAGATATTTTGGTGCAGTCATGTTTGGAAAATATAACCTGGCATAGTAGCAAACTGCTTAACACCTGGAAAAAGTAGGACCAAATAAATGATATGTATTTGCCCATTCCTATCACCACCCCCACCTCGCTATCACTTCTATAATTAACATTATTAGTGCTACTGCTAGTAAACCTGATGCACCTTTCAGTTCTGATGATGTGATGCTTGCCCTTCCTGCTGTGGGGAGATGAGGGTCACAGACCCAAGGGTACTTCCAGGAAATGGTGTAACAGAAACTTTGCTGCTGGCCCAAAAGTTCCACAACATAATTCACTGTGCATGAAGATGATATCATTGTTATGAGCAAAGATGGCTGCAAATACACAAGCTGAAAATAAAAAGGAAACTGGTTGTAGGTGGGGTGAAAAAGGCTTTTGTAGAAAGATGAGTTTGTTCTGAACCTGCAGCCTCCTCCACAGTGATGATGTCCCACGGAGCCCCTTCTTTCCAGCCCTCCACTCCCACTCCCCCAGGGAAACAAATGTGGCCAGAGCTTACCAAGTCCTTTAATTCACAATGTGTCATACCCACACCACGGTGCAGGGGCTTCTTTGGACTCATGTCCCTGTCTGTGACCCTACTGAAGACCAAGGACAAATTGTGGGCTTTATCAGCTGTAAGGCATTCATTTGGTAGGAGCCCAAAATAAAATAAAAGCTATAAATACATAGTGCAAAATCATGGAGTTAGTGTAGAATCTTTTCCTAATGGAAAAGGATCTCTGCAGCCTCCTCTAATCCTCCCCTAGCTTATGGTGCTCTCAGGAAGCAGCTCTATTTAGAGGCTGACCCGCTTGTCACAAGCTGGCTCCTGAGCTCTTGCTGCTTCTCTCTTGCTCTCTCTCTCTCTGAACCTGGGTTGTCCATCTGCCCCACATCCAGCTGGTGCTAGCACAATACAGGAAATAATAAACACACCTTTTGGGGTCATGCTTTACAAATGCAAATTATTTTCACTAAGGGCACGCAGTTTAGATCCAATTTGTTCTTGGCTCTCTTTAGATTAAAAAGGTGCAGAGGGCGGGGGACCCAACCAGGCCAGAGGGTGTTGTTTCCAGAAAAACCAGCATCTAAAGGAGCCAAGCAGAATGGGATAGAGATTTGCTAGAGGCCACCTACTTTTGTGTCAAACTTACTACATGCGTGGACCATTTCTGTGTGGCCTTCCCTGCCCTGCCTTTTCTCCAATACTATTGTGATGAACAACTTGGTCTTCCCCTCTAATTGAATTGGTTACTGATTCCTCTGTACTGCCTTAGAGAAGTACCTCTTATACTTTGGTCAGATCAGAATCACCTGGACACATAGCTGGCTGGACCTCTCCCCAGGGTTTCTAATTCAGTCCATCTGGAACAGGGACCCAACAGTCTGTAGTTCCAACAAATTCCCAGGTGATACTGATGCTGGTTGTTCACTCTTAGAATAGTTTTTCTGGCAGTACATATACCTTTATGATGGTATTTCTTTCTGCTTTTCATTATTTTTTTTTTTCTTGAGACAGGGTCTTGCTCTGTCATCCAAGCTGAAGTGCAGTAGCGTGATCACAGTTCACTGCAGCCTCTTAGGCTCAAGCAATCCTCCCACCTCAGCCACCTGAGTAGCTGGGACGACAGGTGCACACCACCACACCCAGCTAATTTTTTGTATTTTTTTAGAGACAGGGTTTTGCTATGTTGCCCAAGCTCGTCTTGAACTAGTGGGCTCAAGCAATCTGTCTGCCTTGGCCTTCCACAGTGCTGGGGTTATAAGCATAAGCCACTGCTCCCAACCCATTATTATTTTTATAGCAAAGATTTAGGTCAGTACTGTCCAATAGAAATATAATACGAGCCACATATATAATTTTAATTTGTATAGCAATCACATGAATTAAAGTGGAAAATTAATAATTCACCCAATATATCGAAAATATTTCAACGTGTAGTCAATACAAAAATTAATGGAATATTCTACCTTGTTTCATACTAAGTCTTCAAAACTGCATGTATATTATTTTATACTTACAGTACACAACTACATTTAGAGTGCTTAATAGCCACATGTGACTAGTGTCTACCATATTGGGCAAGGCAGACTTAAATAATGCTTACTGTGTACCAGACAGTGACACAGACTCCTTACATGTTAACTCTTTTCGTCCTCACAATAATCCAATGATGTGGCTACTGTTGTAATTCTCATTTTACTGGTGGGGAAACAGGCACAAAGAGCTTAAATAGCTTGTCCCAGGCCACTGAGCTAGAAATTGGGAGAGAGAAGTTTGAACCTTGGCAGTCTGGCCTCAGGGTCAGCCACTTTACCACAAACCTCTCCTGCTCAACTGCAACTCCCTGGACAGTAGAAAGGAAACATTATTTCTTTGTGTGTCCCATAGCACAGGCAATGCTTAGCTCAGACAGGACGGCCAGTAAGTGTGTGCTGGATGAATTAAATGAGTGAGAGGAAGGTGAAGCACTGACAAGGGATTTGTCAAACATGTTCTGCCAACAGGATTAAATGCCTCCAACCATCACTGTGTATGACTGAGTGAGAGGAAATATTTTAAAATTAAATTTGAAATCACCTAGTCATAATGAGCTTCCACGATAATGGAAAGATGTGAGAAAATACATAATGACAGGAATAAAAGGCTTATATACCATCTATTAGAGTGGCAGTCATGATTAGAATGACCAGAACCTGGAAGGAGTACATGAAGGAAGCCTACCTGAAAGGGGTGAATCCTTAAAGGGATGTTAAATGGGATGAAAGGAATATTGTGGAGAAAGACATGGGAAATGATTGACAAGAAGGAAGAATTGTCTCCCTCATCATGAACATTAATTGAGTATCATCTGTGGCAGATCTGGTTCCCAGGAAGCAGGAAATTTGCATACCGGAGGTATTCCAGAAGTACTCCCAGAATCAACACCTTCAGGAAAGTAAGAGAAGCCGGATCAAGCAAGGGGGGATGTTGGGCTGCAACACAACCACGCCAAGTCCTTAGCCAACCCTACGGGGAATTCCAGAGCTGGGATGGCTCTTCGTAGTCTTCCCACATTGGAGCAAGGCCGCTCTTTTAAGGCAGCTCCATTCCTTTTACGGGAACCAGTCATTGGATACTGGTTTCCCAGGAAAGGGGTGTAACCTTGAGCAAGGCAGCTCTCTTAATCCAAGGGCAATAGCTGAAGAGAAGTTCAGCTGTGTGCTGTCATCTGGCACCCCTCCTAGCAGCTCCGGAATGAGAACCTCATTGTTGTGGGTTGGGGGAGGAATCTGGGTAGTGGACTACAGCATCCACTACATCAGCCCAATGCAAAATCTGAAAGAACCCAAAAGAGGACATCATGATAAATGGAAAGAGCCAGACAGAATCCCAACCCTGCCAGCTTATCTGGGAAATTGAGGCAAGGCCATAAAGCTAGTGAGTAAATTTATACCTAGTTTTGTGTGATTCTGGTGTTTGTCTCCACACCTCCTCAGGAAAAAGAAAAGGGAGGACACAGGAAATACACGTAGGGTGGTATTTATGTGTCTGGGTACCTGGGTTTGTTAGGAGCTATGGTTGGGGTGAGAGAGGATCAGCTAAGCAAATCTCAGAGACAAGGAGCCACTTTCTCCTATTCCCCCTGCCTAGGACATGGGGCAGCTACCCTTCTGTTACTAAGGAGGGTGTTTCTACAAGAGACAACATCCCCAGGTTGGGTTGTGGTAGTCTGTCTCCCCACTTCCAAGCTTAGCCTGGAGATAAGAGCCTTTCAGGGGATGCACTTAAGCTTTCATCTTGGTCTTATTTTCTTGGGTTCAACTCAGAGGCAGGGTTTGAACTATATCCCTAGCTGGAATGGGGGCCAGACCAAAATGGAACAGCCCTAGAGAGCCTGACTCTGCAGGGTCATCTGCCTAATCTCCAAGGTCTGGTGAAGCTAGGAGCCCTTTAATCAGGTGGTGAGCTCACCAGGAGCAGAAGTAATCAGGAATAACTACTAAAGAAGTTTGCAGCTGGCAGTGTCTACAGCTGAGAATAGAGGGAGACAGAGAACAGGGTGGGGGGGGAGTATGAAAAAAACAGTAATAGACTTAGCTGTGCATCTTGGCTCCACCCTGAATGTGTGACCTTGGATAAATCTTTTAACCTCTCTGAACTTTAGTTTTAGGGAATGAAACACACCTTACAGAAGCTGCTTAAGTATCAAATCGGTTTTCGGGAGTAAAGTTATTTGCAGATGTGGTAGGTGCTTAATAAATGTGTGTTCCTCTTCTGAACGTAACACAGGGTAAAGTGTTTCTACCTATGGATAAACTTTACAAAATTTGCCGGAATTTTCCCTACCAATATGCGTCTTATTGCCCATGGTGGGGAATGAGATAGTAGCAGCTGAGATCCATGGCTATGATCAGGATACTAGTTTATCTGGGATACACAAAGCCACACTCAGCCCTCAATAAATGTTTGTTGAATATGTAAATGAAGAAATGAACAAACAGTGGAGTGGTGATAAGAGAACTTAGCTTTCCCTTCTTCCAGGAAGTCTTCCCAGGTTCCTCCAGCTTTCTTGGGTTCCTGAAAAGCTTCTACATGTACAATATGCTCCATCCAATGTGCTTCTGAATTATAGACCATCTTCCATTATTCTCTCCTTGTTCTTTGTATGTTGAGCTTGTCTCCTTGGCTTGATATGGACAAATGGTGTTTTTAGTTTTTCCACCAGAAAGCCACAGTGAATCATTCAGGTATGCAAATCCACAGATTTGTAGCCCAAAAGAGAATAATAAAAAAGTGGAGGGTGAGTACCCTTATAATCACACAGCACATGGGTTAAGATTTGTCCTTTTCTACCTCATAGGGTTTTGTGAAGATTGAGATGATATATGGAAATTGATTCGTACAGTGTTGTCATGCTGGACCCTTGTTAACTTCAGTAGTGATGGTACCATGTTCAAGAGGCTGAAAAAGAGACCTGGAGCCAGCAAATGAGACATGAGGTTTATTGAGGGGACTCACATATGGAGGAGTCCAGTGGTGATGAGCTGGACAGAACTGCATCTGCTGGTAAAAAGCATGCAGTTGATATAGCATTTGCACTTAGCGCCCTACCCTTAACAACCTCCACCTGTCAACTTTCATTTAACCCAAAATAAACGGCTTCAGTCCCCTGTAGACCTACATTCCATGAAATGGGCCACAGATTCAGATGTTTCTCATAAGTAAGGAATGAATCTCCTAATCGGTCACTCCCAGATTTCTTAGCTTGGAATTCTAAGCGTACATTCTTCTTAGACCATAGGGTCATTCTCAGGATAGGCTTAAGGTAAGCCATGGCTGTCAGGTGCAGCCATACAAGTGCCTAGCACATAGTAGATACTCAATAAATGGAAATTTAGCATTAGTGATGGTATCAGTATTGATATTGGGGAGGGTGGTAGATAATGGAGGAGGGAAGAGGAGAAGAAAGCTTTTTAATTCCCACACATGCACAGCCTGGAGGGCTGAGTTTCGGAATTCAGTTGTGAAATTCAGCTTATGCCCAAAACCCAAATTACACCTTGGGGTATGGCATCCTGCCTTGAAATGGGAAATTGGGCAGTCTCACAAGGATGCACAGCTGTGTTGCCTGAGCTGTTTTGTTCCAGGCAAACTGGAGCAGGCAGTGAACCTTTGGCAACTGAGGAGAGCAGGGCCAGACAGCTTTGCAGCCATCCAACAGAACCCAGTGAGAATACCAAGCAGCTGTGCACAGGGCTCCAGGAGAAGCCACAGGGGCTCAGGAGCAGGCAAGCTGCGTGCAGAGGAGGCAGACCCCCTTCTTAGACATCAGTCCCTCCTCGGGTGGGCCTGTCCATCCCCTCTTCCTGGACACTTGGCCACTGTCTCTGCTAACCACTAGTCACTGTCTCTTCTCCTTCCTCCTCAACAAGCTCTTTTGTGAGGGGAGAAGAAGTGCTGAGAGATATCAGCATGCCCGGGAGGATGTCAGGTCAAAAGCCCCAATGCTCTTTTTAGGTAGGTGATTCTCAGGCATGATCAGACCAGGACATTGTATCTTTTTCCTTTTCTGGCTTTGGAGAATTTGAAGCTAAGGGTACACAGATGCTGGTGTGCTCAAGTCAGGTCCTTTAGGCAGGTCCCAGGACTCTCCAAGAGGTTCCCTAGGAGTCCCAAAGGTCCTGTCATGCTCTCTGATGAGTGCACTGAACCAGACCCCAAGCCATGGGCTGCAAGCTCTGGGGATTCAGTGCACTGGGTTTATAGGAGCCAAGTGTTCTGGAGACACCACTGCAGGCCTGTCCCTTGCATCTCTAGGGAGTGCCTAGGCTCTTCGTGAGGCTGTTCTATTAGCTGCCCCCTCTAACAAAAACTTCTATTTGTCCTATTTCCTGCTGCTGTCATCACAGCCTTCCAAAAGCATAAGCCTTGAACCAGAAAGCAAAAGCTGGGACTTGTCTCTGTAAAATCCAAATCTTGACAAACACTCTCACACCATCCTTTAGAAGTCTGGAGAGAAATGCAGGCCAATTTGCCTAGGTAATTAGGAATGGAGCTTACCATGGGGGGAGCAACGGTGGGACGAGAGAGTCTCTGCAGCAGATCAACAGGAGTTAGGTCCCAGCTCAGCCTTCTCCTGCCTCACTCTGGCCTGTGGGATGTGTGTGCATTTGATGCAGTTAATGTTAATCACAGAAGCAAGCAAAGTAAAAAGATAAATACATGCACTCACACACACACACCCCCCCCCCCTGAACTGGCGTGTCACAGGACTGATGTTATTTACTGCTTGCTTTCATTGACACTGTCTTCAAAGAAATAAACATCTATGATTTTGTAGTAAGCATTCAGCTGCAAATAACTCAAATGTGTGGAATTATTCTTTCATTCTCACATGGTTTCAAAAGCATTATTGTGCTCTTATTATGTATCAGATAGTGAACTAAGTTCTCAGGCTCCAGATGACTCAGGTCAAGAACTCACAGCCCCAGGGGAGGGTGTAAGTTTAGTTTAGAAACTAAAACAAGAGTTACCACCTATTTAATGTGAGGCACTGTGTGGGGCCTTCCAAGCATCTTAATCGCATATTCCCACCCTAAAAGCACCCTGCAGATAGGCGTTATTTTCCTCATCATACAGCTGAGAAAAATGAAGCTTAACTAATTTGCCTGAAGTCTACAACTAGAAAGTTACAAAGTCAACATTGAACCCAAATCCCACTGACCCCATGCCCATGGCCTTCCCACTATGTCCTTTACTGAAGGTCTCTTTGCAGAGAAAAGTCACAATAGGAACAGGAACAGAGTGTCTGGGAGCACTGGGCAGGGAGCCACCATTTCTGCCTGTAGAGTTGAGGGACCTTGACCTTGCCAAGACAAAATGACAGTCTAGTTGGGTTTTGGAGACGAATACATCATCACCGAGCAGGAAGGGAGTATGGGCAGAAATTGTGAATGAGACTGGACATATCCACGTCCAGCACCTTATGTGGCTTCCACATTTAAGCAACAGGGTAACCTAGCCCCATGATACTGACAAATAAGCTTTGATTTTCATTCAGCCTGCTTGGTCAGGAAAGTAGTGACTGTTTATATTACATGGGTGGTGTTTACCCTGATTCCACAGTTGGAATTTGAACACGTTAAAAACTGTATGTTCAGGTTGTTGTCTCCCTGACCATTTCACCTAACTCCATACTTTGAATTAGAATGTTTTAAAAAGTAAGAATCAGGCAATATAGACAGATACAGCAAAAGTCTTAGAATTTTCCCTCCTCTCTCTAAGTGGACTCCAAAGCACATCAGTAGATACATTTGACTAGAATCTATCAACTAGGCTAAAAGAGATCCGAGGATCCAGAAGCTGGCATTAAGGCAGGGAGCATCTCAGCACCCCGCGCCTACTCCGCCACCCACATGCCCGCATCTGTGGGTGCATGATCTCACACCAGGGTGCTGGGGAAGTTACCTACAAGCCTCCCTTCAGTTATGTCCCCTTCTAGAGCCCACCCCATGGGGTAACCTTCACATTGCATTGTCCCTGCTGTCTGCCATCCATGCACCATTTTAAAATATATATTTTTAAAATTTAGAATAGTTTTAAATATACAGAAAAGTTGCAACAGTAGTACGGAGTTCCTAGATGCCTTGTTTGCACTTTCCTCTGTGATTAGCATCTTGTATTACTGTAGTACATTTGTCACAGTTAGTTATATGGATACATTATTATTAACTGAGGTAGCACTTTGTTCAGACTCTCTTTTTTTTTTTGCCTAATGCCCTTTTTCTCTTCCAGGATGTCATCTGGGATACCACATTACATTCAGTCTTCATGTCCCCTTAGGCTCCCTTTGGCTGTGACAGCTACTCAGACCTTCTTTGCTTCTGATGCCCTTTGCAGTTTTAAGTACTGGTCAGCTATTTCGTAGACTCCCTCAATTGGGATTTGTCTGATGTTTTTCTTATAACTATACTGGGATTATAGGTTTGGGAGGGGAAAACTACAGATGTAAAGCACCTCTTTCATATCAAGGGTACATATTGTCATCATGACATTATCACTGTGGATGTTCGCCTTGATCACCTGGCTGAGGTCGTGTTTCTCAGGTTCTCTACTGTAAAGCAGGGAGCAGTTTTTATGAACTTCTTCCTTTTAGTTTGGAAGAGTACAAGGCAGTCTGGACTGATGCATTTGTGTTCTTTCCCATGATGTCAGAGAGATGTTCCATGAATATTAATGATCTTGTTATTTTATTAGAAGCTGAGTTGACCTTTTCATCCATCTGATTTGATTCTCATTTTTGTTTATTTGAGGCAAGTCTTTGAGAGAACACCTTTGGTATGTGAGTTTATGCTCCTGTCACCGCAAATTTTATTTCCTTCTATACTATTAGCTCCTTGCAGGAAATGGCTATGTCCTCAATATGCAGACACCATATAACAGTCTCCAGCTTTATTCCATCTGTTTCCCCAGCCCACAGTGTGTGTGCGCACCAGGAAGCTTCATGGCCCTCCTAGTATGCATTTGTTCCTTACTTCCCTGAGGGAACCTGTGGCTGTTGATCAGAGAAATCATGATGCTGTAGAAAGAGCCTGGCATTGAGATGTTTCCCTTTCTCTGAGCCTGGTCAGGAAAGTGGGACAGTAAGGAAACCCAAGTTAAAATCAGCCCGTTGAGCTCCAGCACTTAAAAGCCGTTGATGTCTAAATCCAGAGTGCTCACTGAAAGAGCTTTGATTTCACTTCTACATGGATGGTATTCCAGTTACTGCTGCTGCCTAACAAACCACCCGAAACTTAGTGGCTTAGATCAATAGTAATCATTCATTTTGCTCATAAGTCTGTAGCTGGGGAGGAGTCGCTTGTCTCTGCTCTCCCCTGACTCAGCTGCATGGGCTGAATCTAAGTCAACTTGATGGGCTGGAAGGTCCACTTTCAAGATGGCTCATTCACATGGCCAGCCGAGTTGTACTGCTATCATCTGGAAGTGAGGCTGAGGCAGAAGGCCGTGAACCTCGGTTCCTTTCCACATGGGCCCCTCTCTGGGCTGCTCAGGCTTCCTCACAGCATGGCAGCTGGCTCCCAGGAATAAGCACCACAAGAAAACCAAGAAGTAGCCATACCACCTTTTAAGACCTGACCTTAGAAGTCAGGTAGCATCACTGCAGCCACAGTCACAAACCCACCCAGATTTGAGGGAAGGAACATAGACCTTACCTCTCAACAGGTGAGCCAAAGTCACATTTAGGAAGGGTAAGCAGATTGCAATGTACTGGTCATTCTCGGGAAACACCAGCTGCCACAGGTGGCTAGTAAGTGATTTAGGAGAGTTTCTTATTCTTCAGCAAATATGTGTTGTAGCCTAGGTGCTGGACTAGACATGGGCATATAACATTGAATCAGACATGGTCCCAGCCCTGGCAGCTTCCACTTCAGACAAGGAAACAGACAAAACACTGGCCATTTCCATTCAGAGAGGTGAGAGCTGGAGTAGAGATAAGCTTATAGGTTACAAGCACACAAGGAGGGATTCCTAACAACAGTTTCAAGGCCCAAGAAGAATTCTCAGATGGGTTCTAGGTGAGAAATGTTTGTACCAAGTTGAATCAAATGACTAAGGCAAAAAAGCTAAAGCTGAAGATTAAAGGCAGCACAGTTGCCCCCAAGTGTTGCTGCACTTGGGGAAAGATTTGTCATGGTCATCACAGCTGTTACTATTATCTTCATCAAGCATTCCTCTACTCATGTAGGACATTTTCCTGGATCAGAAATTTCTCAGGATTTCTTGGGCAGTCAGGATCAGAGAAACCTGGGTTTAAATCCTGGTACTGCTACATGGTGGTCGTTTTGACCTCAGACAAATGACTTAACCATATGTGAGTGTGGAGATGATGGGGGACTTGAGCTGAAAACTTGTCATTCTTCCCTGTTTCTCGCCCCTGGGAAAAGGCCTATGCTTACTCTGTGTGAGTGTGTGTTCACATGTGTTTATTCATATGTTTTTTAGGAGGCCATGATCTGTCAGCCCCCTAGAGCTTCAGCGCAAGGTGAATTCATGTTGGCTGGAGGCCAAAGGTGTGTCTGGGGCACACAGGTCCTGTCTCACATGGCTTTCTTGATGGAATGTATTCAAGAGATTGTACTCTGGGAAGTAGTTTCCCAAAGTACAAGTCATGGACCTGATCAATCTAGCTGTTGAACCAGTAATCTCAGAGATGTCTGTAATCTACCAGACACTGGTCCCAGTTAGCTCTAAGCAGAACTTTCTGTTCTTCAGCCTTGTTATCTGAGGCATGTTCCCAGCAGAATTTTATAGGAGGGAACATTTTAAATGTGGCAACCTATAGTGAGGGAAGCAGAAAAGATTTGCACCCAAAAGTCCTTGGTTTCATAAAGAAGTGAAGTCACAGGCATGGATTACCTCTTAAGATCAGTCACCCAGCTCACCCTGAAATCAGTGATACATATTTATTTTTGGTTAAGGGAAACCATGCTCCAAGGAATTAGAAGTTTATATTTGATCTTTAATAAAAGGAATCATTGGAGTTCAGAGATGGACCATACTAGAACACTGGAACCACAGTGAGTATAAAAAGAACACTGGCCAGGCACAGTGGTTCACGCCTGTAATCCCAAAATTTTGAGAGGCCAAGGCAGGCAGATTGCTTGAGCCCAGGAGTTGGAGACCAGCAACATGGCAAGACCCCATTTCAAAAATTAGCTGGTCCCAGCTACTTGGGAGGCTGAGGCAGGAGAATGGCGGGAACCCGGGAGGCGGAGCTTGCAGTGAGCCGAGATTGCGCCACTGCACTCCAGCCTGGGCGACAGAGCGAGACTCCGTCTCAAAAAAAAAAAAAAAAAAAAAATTAGCTGGACATAGTGGTGTATGCCTGTAGTCCCAGCTACTCGGGAGGCTGAGGTGGAAGGATCACTTGAGCCCAGGAAGTCAAGGCTGCAGTGAGCTGTGATCACACCACTGCACTCCAGCCTGGGTGACAGAGTGAGACCTTGTCTCAAAAAAAAAAAAAAAGGAAAAGAAATGAAGAGAGAAAGAGAGAGAGAGAGAGAGAGATAGAAACAGTGTGAGTTTGGCACATTCATGGGATTGGCAGGCAATGAGTTGACCTGAGTCCCTCCCTGCCCCTCACCCTGT